GCCGGCTCTCGCCACACTCCCCCGCGCTCCGACTTCCCTCCATTTTCCCCCTGTTTCCTCTCCTGCCCCCCCTGCCCCGCTCCGCTCCCCCGCCGGACCGCAGCAGCCCTTTGCAGCCTCCCCCAGGCTCCAGCACGTCGCCCGCTGCCTTTCAGCAAAGCTCGGTTGAAAGAAAAGAAACAAAAAACAAACCGGCCCCTCCTCTCCCAGTGAAGACCAGGCCTGAGAAGTCTCCTGGGCAGCCACCATCACAGCCAGCCGCTGCTCCAGCCGCTCTAGGCTCTTTACCATGCTCATCTCGGTCACGTCCCGCTGAGATGAGCCACGCTGGCTCTCCCGAGCCCCCTGCCCAGGGACGTGCCCGGCGTGGAGCAGGCTCCTGGGCCGGTGCTGCCTGCGGGCAGGGCTGGGGGCTGCGGGGGCTCCGCCGTCACGCAGGTGGGTCTCACTCAGCGGTAGCAGGTCCTCCGTCCGGAGCGGTTACTGCTTCATCTTTCCCCTGCACAAGAGGACATAAAGCGATGACAATGACACCTCACTGTCCCCATCTCCCCCGGCCTGACCCGTACAGCAGGGCTCAAGCCTCCAGCTCTCCCCACGGCCAGGGACTGGGACACCCTGGCTCATTCCCCCTCATTTCGTTAGAAATCAGGAAACTGGAAACAGAGGCAGAAAAGGCAAGTCCTGCTGCAGGGGCAGCACGTTTCAGCCCCCTCGCTCCTTCTCCAGCCCCCTTTTCCGAGGGAGATCGGTGCAGCATCAACGAGAGCCCCAGGACCAGCGCTCGCCCCGGGTGTCCACCCGCTGCTCCCCTCTCCCGGACTCCTGGGACTTGCGCCCCACGTTGGGGCCACTCTGGAGTTCATTTCTCTTTCTCCGATGCTCTCCCTCCCCTGCCTCTCCCTCCACCGGAGCTTCTCCCCGGGCTCGGGAGGAGGAGGAGGATGCCGGCAGAGCTCCCCCCGGGTCGGTACCTAAAGCAAGATACTGACAGATCCCTGACCCAGGAACCGAAAACAAAGGTGTTCGGCCCCGGGGCGCGGAGGAGGATGCCGGCAGAGCTCCCCCCGGGTCGGTACCTGCCGGCTGGGGGCTGGG